TATATATATATATATATATATATATATATATACATATTTGCGCCTACATCTATATCTATGTCTGAGCTGCCCGGGATGTTTTCTGAACCGGAGCATGTAACATCAGGTTCAGATTCCCAAGGTACTTCAGGAACTCCAATTCTCAGGAAGACTAACGCGCAGACCGCCAGACCCCGACCCTAGCATGGGTTCAGGGTTCCGGGTTCAGGGTCTAGGGTTTAGGGTTTAGGATATCCCAAACCCCGCATCCCTGACCCCCTAATCCGTGCCAGGAGCGCATCTTCCTGGACTACGCGGAGCCTTGGTTGATCCAAATAAAAGCAAAGGCCCGTCTCAAGGCCTGCACCCTAAACCTAAACCCTATATACCCTATGCCCTAAACCCAATGACGAAATCCTCGTCCGAAGCCCTAAACCCTAAACCCGAAGCCAAAAAACCCTAAAACCCTCAAGCCCTAAAGCCCTATAAACCCTAAAATCCTAGACCCTAGACCCTATGAACGAGATCCTCGTCTCAAGCCCTATCATGAGGGCTCCTGGGTTCCTAAGCCAACACCCCTTTTCTTGTAAGGAACGAAGGTTCTACTACGGGATGTGCCCTTAGTAGGGATTCTAACAGGGGGGTACTATAGTCCCTATTAAGGACTGTGAGCATAAGGGGGAACATCCCCAGTTCTACTAGTACTTCAACTGGGAGTTGCTGGTACATGGATTTAGGGTTTAGGGTTTAGGGTTTAGGGTTTAGGGTTTAGGGTTTAGGGTTTAGGGTTTAGGGATGACCCTCAGCTCCGGTCAGCCTTGTTCCTCCAAGCCTCAAAGCCCTAAAGTCTTCTGGTACTGTGCCCATGAACCCTGAACACAAAACCCTACCTAAACCCGAAACCCCACACCCTAAACCCAGCTTCCTACTTCTGAGCCCTAATCCCTAAACCTCAACCTTTTAAACCCTGAACCCTAAGCCCTAAACCCTAAACCCTAAGCCCTAAGCCCTAAACCCTAAACCCTAAACCCTAACCCAAACATATCTCCAGTTCCGGTGACGCCCCGAAATCCGAAGCCCAGGACCTGGAGATGCGCCTGGGAAACATCGACCGCTGCCGCAACCTGGCTGGTTTGGGGTTTAGGGTTTAGGGTTTAGGGTTTAGGGTTTAGGGTTAGGGGTCAGGGGTCAGGGGTCAGGGTTCAGGGTATAGGGTTTAGGGTTAGGGTTTTTGGGGTTCAGGGGTTTAGGGTTTAGTTCGGGTTTTAGGGGTTTAGGGGTTTCAGGATTTCAGGATTTCGGTTTGGGGTTTGGGGGTCTCAAGATTTAGGCTTTAGAGGGTTGGGAGCACATTCAGAGCACGTAGGGGATTTCCTTTGGACTTTGGAGATGTGTGTTTTTCGCTCCCCCCCCCCACCCCAACACCCACATGCACTGCAGCCTTTTGAAGTCATAGGGCTTTAGAGTTCAGACTTTTAGTGCCTAGGGTTCTTGAGTTTAGGTGCTTGGGCATAATGGCAATGCCACATGTGCCCCAAGCGCCGCGGACCAATAGTTGCCCAAACCCCGGAAAGCGCACACTAAGCTTATAAACCCCTACGCCCCTCAAACCTCAACCCCAAGTCGAGTGCTACCTGGGGTAGGCGTTCAAGGTCCAAGCCCTCACCCCAAAGCCCGAAACTCGGATCCGGATGGCTTGCAGGGCCTCTGAGGGGTTTAGGGTTTTTAGGGTTAGGATTAAGGTTTTGGGGGTCGCAGGGTTCAGGGGTTGGGTTTAAGGTTTAGGGTTCAGGGCGTCAGGCTGAAACACTGCAAATCCACACTTCTCCGACCCCCCAAAACCGATGTGGTAAACCCTAAACCCTAAACCCTAAACCCTAATCTGCTGAGGCACGATCTATGGCAAGTTCCTGGAGGCTCGGGACGCAAGCGGGAGCCCCCTTCTGAAGCAGAAGCCCTGACTTGGGGGGGAAGTTGGGGCTTTCTCAAGCCCTCGAAGCCCTCAGCCCTATGGACCCTAAACCACGAACTAAGCCCAAACCCCAAACCCCCAAGCCCCAAGCCCTAAACCCCAAACCCTATAACCCTAAACCTCTGAGCTCTCAGCCCTAAACCCTAAACCCTAAACCCCAAACCCTAAACCTCTGAGCCCTCAACCCAGAACTGCAGTGCTGGAGCCGCAGCAGGGCGCAGGGAGACTCCCAGACTGCTCGAGATGCGAGCCTCCAGATCCATGAAGCTCACGGGGTTTAGGGTTTAGGGTTCCTGAAGAAACCCAGAACCTGCTTTTTTTAGGTTACCTAAGAATCCTCTCTGGGGTTATGTACAAAGAACCTACGGAGTCTCTTTTTTGGGCTTAGAGCCTTAAGCAAGTCTCTTTCCTATGCCCTCTAAGAGCCATAAGCCCAAAACGCGACACCCCCTCACCCAGGACCTCAAATCCGAAAGACCCCAAAACCCTAAATCCTAAACCCAAGACCCTAAAGCCCCTGGCCCCACTCTAAAATGCAGCCAAACACCAGACCCCCGCCCTGTCGATGGACACTGTGGCTTAGGGGTTCGGGCTTTAGGGTTGGGTGTTTGTCGCCACGGCTTGGGGCTTGGATCATCTCGCGGAGGGGGCCGGAGCTGGTCCGACAAGCCTCGGAGTTCAAATTCAGAGCCTAAACCCCGAATGAAACCCTAAACCTAAACCCCAAACCCTAAACCCTGAACCCTACTACCCTGTAGGGGTTGAGGCTTTAAACCCTACAGCTCCCAGACCCCCAAAAGCTCCCCCAAACCCCCAAACTCTCTGGAGGGCTTTAGGGCTGTTGGCCCTAACAGACCCCCAAACCCCTACAGTAAACTCCCAAACTCTATAGTGGTTTTGGGTTTGGGCAACAGCCCTAAAGCCTCTAGAGTTTTGGGGTTTAGGTTTGGGAGCCCAGCTGTAGGGGTTTTGGGTTTCGCGGCCCTGCGCCAGGTTCAGCCGCACAACCCCAAAGCATGGACTGTCTTCGTGGACTTGGAGGACCACGACTCGGATTTGAGTGATGTAGGATTCAGGTTTTAGGGTTCAGGGTTTCGGGTTCAACATAATAAAAGGAGGCTACTTACGGTTCAGGGCCTAGTTTAGGGTTCAGGATCGAGGGTTTAGGGTTTAGGGTTTAGGGTCCCCTAAAGATCCCAAGCCCGAAGCACCCTGAAACCACGAAGCCGAAATCCCATGAACCTCTAACTTCTAAGCCCCTTAGGGTTTAGGGTTCAGGGTTTAGGGTTTAGGTTTTTGCGTAACCCTGAAGCCTAAGCCGCGCCGCCAAAAAGCTCTAAGGCTTGCCAAAAAATAGTCCCAAAAACCAAGGCCTGTAACGCCTGAACTCTAAACCTCAAACCCTGATTGAACCCCAAACCCCTTATCTTAAACGCTAAGCCGGCCGGGCCCCAAGCCAAAAGCCAAAAACAGAACAACCTCGAACAAGAAACAACCTACAGCCCCAAAGCCGAAGCCCTAAACCCGCTAAACCCAAAACCGAAACCCCAAACCCTAAACCCTAAACCCCAAACCCCAAACCCCAAACCCCAAACCCTAAACCCTAAACCCTAAACCCTAAACCCTAAACCCTAAACCCTAAACCCTAAACCCTAAACCCTAAAAGCAGCCCATGGAGCCACAGGACTCGGTGGGCGAAGTTGAGCGTGCTCGTGCCGCTGGGCTGAAACCCCAACATGGCTGGTTCAGGGCCTTGGGGTTTAGGGTTTAGGGTTTAGGGTTTAGGGATAGGGCTTCTAATTTGTTTTGGGGTTTATGGGGTCTACAGGCATTCTAGGGTTTGGGGCGTTCAGGGTTAGGTTGTAGGGTTTATCGTTCTTGGAGGTTTAGGGGTTTAGGGGTTTGGGGTTTGGAGTTCGGCGTTTATGGCTTCCACCTGCGACTCGAAGCCGAAACCATACTCAATAGAATGAAAAAATACTCTTTTGGGTTGTGAGTTCCGATTATTGCTACTTCTACCTAACAAGTGTATACGTTTTTTCCAGGGTCTATGCCAAAGTAGGGCGATGGATCCCAAAAAACCAAACCCGCAACTCTCTAAAGCTTGGGGCACCTGCCGGTACCGTAAACAGAATCCTGTGACCATAACTTCTATCAACACCCGTGAAGGTTTCTGTACGAAACCCTAAACCCTAAACCCCAAACCCTTAACCCTAAACCCTAAACCCTAAACTATACCCTAAACCCATACTTGGACAGGGCTGAGGTGAGGATTTTGGGAGTTCGAGTGGAGGGCAGAGGGGTCCCTGAACGCCAAGCCCTGAACCCTCGACACTCCACCCTAGACAGGCCCTCTGCAACCTGGCCATCACCCAGGCCGGTTTAGGGTTTGGGCTTTGGGCTTAGGGTTTAGGGTTTAGGGCTTAGGGCTTAGGGTTTAGGGTTCAGGGTTTAGGGTTTGGGGTTTGGGGTTTTTTGGTTGCAGGTTTTGGGGTCGCTGAATCTCAGGTTGGGTTTGGGGATTCAGGGGGAGGGGGGGCTTTAAGTGTTTCTACGGGTTAGAGGGTTAAAATTCTAGCGTTTTTTTTCGCTATTCAGGCTGAATTCCTAGACAGCTTGTTGCGGTCCGGGTTGAGGGTTGAGGGTTTAAGGCAAGTTTAAGGTGTAGAACGAGGGCTTAGGGTAAAGTGACCTGAGCTTCGAGGCTCCAGCTCAACAAGTTCCGTTCAGGCTTGGCATCCTCCTTCCACACGGCTGCAAGCAGCCCTAAACCCTAAACCCTAAACCATGAGCCCTGCAGCCTACAGCCTAAAACCAATGTCTTAGGGTCTTTCAACCCTAGTCTAAAACCAACAACCAGGTCCGAGCATCCTAATATAGAGCCTAAAATCAATATCCGAAGACTTATTAGTATTAATATTCTAAGTGACTTAGAGTTTTTTCTAAGCGACGTAGAATATCAATATGAAGCCTTGTTCTAGGGGCCTGGAATCTCAAAGCCGATCGTGGCGGGACAGGAACATCCGCACCCTTGAGGATGCCAGGGTGCATGGAGGGTGAAGCTCAGGTTTGGGCTTTGCCCAAAGGCTCCTATATGTGGTACTGCACCCCGTTCTTGGGTGGCATACTAGAATCCACCCTAAACCCTAAACCCTAAACCCTAAACCTAAACCCTAAACCCTAAATCCCCTATAACTAAACCAAAAAGGAGCTACATTAGAGCCTTCAGGTAGAGCCCCAAGGTAAACCCCACAAAACCCCTTCAGCGCCCTGAAGCCCGAAAGCCTACATGAAACCCTAAACCCTAAACCCTAAACCCTAAACCCTACATCCTAAACCCTAAACCCTAAACCCTAAACCCTAAACCCTAAACCCTAAACCCTAAACCCTAAACCCTAAACCTAAACCCTAAACCCCCTTGTTCAGGAGCGCCTCGACATGCCGGAGCTCGTCTGGAAGCGCTACATCGACTTGGAGGCGCGCCGCAGTAGAAAAGACCTTGCTGATGAGGGTTTAGGGTTTAGGGTTTAGGGCTACATGCCTAGGGTAAGCTTGTACCTTAAATGAAGCCATGCCTGCAAGGCTAGAGCAAGAGCGCTACCCCACGTATCTAGAGACCTGGACAGCTAATTCGAAACCCCAAACTTGAGGGTTCCCCTACTGCCCCCCTGTATACTACCCCCCCCCCTAGGTTTCCCCCATAATTAAAGCTATTTAAGGATAATTAAGCTTAACTAAGGCTATTTACCGGGGGAACCTAGGGGGGTAGTATAGAGGGGGGTAGTAAGGGAACCCTTTATAAACTGAAGAGGGGGTTTGCGGCATGAGGGGGTACCTTATTGGGGTCCTTAGCAGAAGGAGATCCTAGTATTTGGGTGTCTGTACCAGGGGCCCCTTATTACCGGAAACCTCAAGAGCTTTGTTTCCTGTCGGTTTTCTGGCCGTAACTAGGGTCCAGAAGTTTTCCGTCTTCGGGGTCCAGGGTTTATGCAAGGCACCCCCAAGGCCTCTATGTGGTAGAACCGCTGGTGGATTAGGGTTTAGGGTTTAGGGTTTAGGGTTTAGGGTTTAGGGTCTAGGGAAACTACACACAGTGGCAATGAGATGAGGGGGCACATCTCCGAAAATGCGTGTCAGGCACAACCTCACCGCCAACATAAGCACAACATCACGACTACACAACCAAGAGCACCCTAAACTTCCAAAACCCCTAGGGCCCCTAAACCCTCATCCTAAACCCTAATTAAACCCTAAACCCTAAAAGTTCCAAGGGTTTTGAGACCTTGGCTCCATTTTCGCTTCTTGCTTTGTGTACCCTCGAGATGCGAAGACCCAAGCATTGGTCAGGAGCCTCGACCCCGCAACCCTCAACCCTAAACCCTAAGCCTTAAACCCTAAACCCTAAACCCTCAACCCTAAACCCTAAGCCTTAAACCCTAAACCCTAAACCCTAAACCCTAAACCCTAAACCCTAAACCCTAAACCCTAAACCCTAAACCCTAGACCCTACGCAGCAGCAGCCGAGGTTAGCCAGAACGAAACCGACAACGCGCGCAAGGCCGACTCTCGTGGCCTTTTGTGGGGTCGCCACCTCAAGGGATTGTTTGGGTCGCTGATTCTTTTTGAGTTTTAGGGTTTTTTGGGTTTTGGTTTTTTTTTGGGTTTTTGGGTTTTGGGGTCCTGTGGGTTTGTGGGTTTTTGTGTTTCCCTAAACCCTAAACCCTAAACCCTAAACCCTAAGGTGTTTGGGTTTTGTGGTTGTAGGTTGTAGTGTTTAGGGTTTGTGGCTTGGGTTTTAGGGCTTGGGGTTTCCGAACCAGCACTTCAGAAAACTCCAAGCCCAGGAGCGGCTCCCCGCAAGAGTTTCGCAGGCCCAAACAAAAAAGCAACTCGGTTTAGGGTTTAGGGTTTAGGGTTTAGGTTTTAGGGTTTAGGGTTTAGGGTTTAGGGTTTAGGGTTTAGGGTCCCAGCCAGCATCCACAGCCCTCAAAACCTGGACTATCAAAGTGCCTTCTCCAGATGCTCTCTCTCTCTCTCTCTGTACTTGTTCTTTCTTTCTTTCTTTCCTTTCTTTTTCTTTCTTTTTTCTTTCTTTCTATACACATCATGTATATATCTAGATACATATATATATATGTATATGTAATCATGCAGGTTTGGCAGCAGCTGGTCAGCAAGTCGCACCACGTGCGCGTCTATATCGCCTACAGCGATTTTGAGGCCACCGTCGGATGCCACCCCAGACGCGAAAACAGAGGCCCCAAAAGCCCCAAAAGGCTTAGGGCTAAGGGCCCTAAACCCGTTTAGGGTTGAGGTTGAGGGTTAGGGTTTAGGGTTTAGGGTTTAGGGTTTAGGGTTTAGGGTTTAGGGTTTAGGGTTTAGGGTTTAGGGTTTAGGGTTTAGGGAAGCCCTAAACCCTAAACACAAACCCTCAAGCCCAAGCCTTTCTTTTGTCAGCCCGGGCGTCAGAACTTCAAAGCAGGCCCTATGGGCCCAGGCTCTTCGCCCTGAGACCGAGAGTTCAAAACCTTTTTCACAATATGGAAAAGAGCAAATGAGGGTTTCACGGTTTAGGGTTTAGGGTTTAGGGTTTAGGGTTTTTAGGCTTTGGGGTTTAGGGTTTAGGAAAATAGGGGACCCTAATATAGACCCCACAATTGGTAGGGTTCCCTTAAAATAACGGCCCCAATAAGGTACCCCTAATTTCGGAAATTCCCAAATAAGCTAATCAGCACATGCAACACAGATTTCTTCATAGCTTCATAGGTAATGTAGTGTACTGAAATGTAATGTATTGGTAACGTAATGTAGTGAAAGGCAATGTGATTTAGTGAAGTGTGGTGCAGGGGTGTCTGTATGCATGTATACTCCCTGCCACCAAAGAATGCCAAAAGCCGCATTACACCAAGTTTAGGGTTATATAGGGAGCTCCAAATCCCCATGATAATCTACAAAGCTCCCTCATAAAGTTGCCGCCCCCTCAGTCGCCTTAAACCCTGAACCCTTACTAAACCCTACTAAACCCTAAACCCCAAACCCCAAACCCTGAACCCTAAACCCTAAACTTTCTTTGCAGGCCGTGACATGCCAGTCCATGCCAAAGGCGAGAGAAGCCCTGGAGGCAGGTTCGCGCCACTTCAAGGCGGGCTTTTGGTTTAGGGTTTAGGGTTTAGGGTTTAGGGTTCAGGGTTTAGGGTTTAGGGTTTAGGGTTTAGGGTTTAGGGTTTAGGGCCACTTAAGGCGGGTTTTCGGTGCTCATCAGGGCCACTTAAGGCAGGCTGTTGGGGGCTTGTTAGGGCCACTTAGGGTGACTTCGGGCTATTTCGGGCGCTTTAGGGCTCTGCTTAGGGCTATTTGCGGGGTTGGATTGTTATAGGCTTTGGGGTTTAGGGCTTTAGGGCTTGAGAGGCTAGGAGCTTCAAATTTTAGGGTTTGGGCTTTAGGACCTTCAAGTTTAGGTATGGGCTTCGTCGTTTTCAAGTTTGCGGATCTCCGGGTTTGGTAGTTGGGTTTAGGTTTAGGGCAGAATCGGCTCGACCCTGTCCGCACAGTGCGTACCCAGCAAGGAGTGTGGGCATCAGCATACAGGTCACTTGACCGCTACACAGGCAACGAGATACGTCTGGAGCATCTGTACTACAACCGGATGGTGGAATGCCTGGTTGAAGTGCCCCGCGGACGTGACGTCATCGGTGTAACTGCTGTGCTCGTGCTGCCGCGGTCTGAAAGGGGATGTGGCGTGAAAGACTTTTCGAGCGTGGTGCATAGGGGTGCACGAGATTTGGCTTGGCGAAGTAGGGTTAACAAGGGTAGATACGGAGCATCCCAAAGGAGTCAGGGGCCCGTATCAAGGGCCCTTGCATCCACTCCGTAGAGTTTAGGGTTTATGGTTTAGGGTTTAGGGTTTAGGGTTTACGGTTTAGGCTTTGAGGAGTTTGGAAAAGCCAGCAATGTAGACTTATCACCTGCTTTGGGGTACCCAAGACCGCTTTGGCTAAACCGTATAACCCTTATAAGATTCCATGTGCCCTCATAGAAAGCTAGCGTCTTTGTACTATACAGGTACGTGGCACTTCTGGTAAACCTCAAACCCCTAAATCCTGACACAGGAACTGGAACGCAAGCCCTAAACTCCTGAACAGGGTTTAGGGTTCAGGGTTTAGGGTTTAGGGAGACCCTAAACCCCTGAACCCCATCTAAACCCCCCCCCAAATCCCCCAAGAAACGGAAGGTGGAGAGCCGCAACGAGGAGCGCGCCATGCTCCTGGAACACCTGCCGGTGTCCCCAGCATTGCTAGCAGGTAAGGGTCTGCAGGGTCTATACTTTGTTGTAGTGGGGTACTTGTGCATTTGTTCAGGGTACTTAAGCTCAATAAGGAATAGAATTTTAAATTCTTAATACTATCCCAACCATGAACTAGTATAAGGTTCAGGTTGAGATGCTTGCCCCGGGTTTTCGGGCTTAGGTGCTTTGCAGGGTTTCATGGGTTTCAGATGCCTCGGTTTTAGGGATCATTCTTCATCTTTCTTCTTTCCGGGGGTTGTGTTTCCCCTGAGCTCTATAATCCCTAAACCCTTTGGAGGTCTGTTAAGCAAGAAGGGACACCCTGTCATTCTTAAACGGCACAAGGGTTCAGATGTTTGTCTTAGCGCGTCGAGCGACTTGGGGTTTGGGGTTTAGGCCACGGTGTTCCATGGGCTCCCAAGCGACACCCACCCTAACCACCCTAAGAGTCCATGTACCTAACAAGTATATATACTTGGGCCCTGAAGCTACTATAGGGGAACCCCTTTAAGTCCCTAAACCCTAAACCGTAGATAAAACTCAAGTTGCCTGACCGGGTGGTCCTTCAAACTTGTGACCTTAAGCAAGGGTTGAGGGTTTAGGGTTTAGGGTTTAGGGTATCTCCATAGGCCTTTTTGGACATTTTCTATTTTCCCTTGTTGGGTGTAAGAGGATCGTATTCTGGAATATGTTTCAGAGGGTTTTAGTTGGCCATCCTCGTCATTGTGAGACACAGTCCTCATCCTCAGTTGCAATGGGGTTATAGGCACGTGTCCTAACCTGATCAACCACAACCACGGCTCCCAGCCATTTTCCTCGCCGTCTGACAGCGTGTCCTCCACTAGAGTTATAGCTGCAGCTACAGTTGCCCAACCGTCAAGCAGAAGCCCCGCATGCCTCAAATCCCCCTTTTCCCACTAACATCCTAACCCCGGAAAGCCTAAAACCTTGCTTCAGAAAACCCTAGAAGCTCTACGCCTAGACCCTGAACCCTAACCCCCTAAACCCTCAAATGCCCTAAGCCCTGCTACAGTCAGGCTCAAGCTCGAGAAGGAGCATGGCGATGACGACTCGGTGAAGGCTCTCGGGTTCTCTCCTGCTTGGAGAGTGTCGAGTCTAAAAGTATGGCACAGGTTTGCTTTAGGTTTTAGGGTTTAGGGTTTAGGGCTTGAGGGTTTAGGGTTTAGGGTTTAGGGTTTAGGGTTTAGGGTTTAGGGTCACAGAGCTTCAAGGGTTGGATGTGGGGGTCGTAGCGCAACGCACGCTTTGCATCGAAATGCGCAGCCTGCGTGAGCCTGACAGCACCGGAGCCCTAAAGCCCCCAGGCCAAACCCTAAACCCTAAACCCTAAACCCTAAACCCTAAACCCTAAACCCTAAACCCTAAACCCTAAACCCTAAACCCTAAACCCTAACCTTGAGCTTCGGTTTTTGACAGCTGCATGATTCAGTCCACGAGTGGTCGTTGACCAGACTCGTGAGTCTCCTTGGTGCCGTTGAACTCGACGGACCATGCCATGCTGGAGACTCCCCAAAGGTTAGGGTTTAGGGTTTAGGGTTTAGGGTTTAGGGTTTAGGGTTTAGGGTTTAGGGTTTAGGGTTCAGGGTTCAGGGTTCAGGGTTCAGGGTTTAGGGTTTGGGGTTTAGGGCCCCAAACACTGAAGCCAATTTAGGGTTTGGGGTTTGGGTTCGGGCCCCAAAGCCCGAACCCCCTGATGGAGAAAGCGCAAGTGAAACTTCACATTTTCACACGGGCACACGCTATTTTGCTTCATGTCGTCCAGAAGCTCGCGAACGAAATGAACTTGCCTCGTCCTTTCGCGAGCATTTCTTCTACTATCTTCCGATGTAGTCCCTAAGCTCTAAGCCCCAAACCCTAATCAATATGAGTGGAGTACGACCTTGTCATCTTTATGACTTAGTGAGGTGCAGACCCTCTACACCCCTACGAGACCCTGCTAAACCCTACAATAGATCTGTGCCTTACAAAAGTGTACGGAGGTTTCCGACAATAGGGGTACCCTTTGTGGGGTCCCTTCAAGGGGGTTCTAGTCTAGTTGGGGTTTCAAAGGGGTACCTCAACTTGGGAAATACCCAATATACCTATTTAAGGCACGCTTGTATTTTGTTGAGGGTCTAGAGGTTCCTCCAGGTAAGCCACCCTAAACACAACCAACTTGGGAGGAGCTGCTGCCGTTGAGGGTTGAGGGCTTGAAGTTCTGCCCGGGGTTGGGGTGCAGGGCTTAAAGTTCCTCCGATCCAAGCAACTTCAGTGCTGTTTGCAGACCTTTCCTCACCCGTGCTTTTGGTAGGTTTGTGCTGGCTACAAGGAAAGGGACCCGCAAAACAGGTTTTCATTTTGGGTTTGCAAACTATAGGCCTTAAACCCTAAGCTCTGCAGATTGAAGTGTGCCCAGTACTGAGATCTGTCCCCAAAGCTTACTTGCCGAGCCCAAACCCGCACATTCTTATACAGACGCAAGTTTTGCTTGCTGGAATTCCAAGTAGCAAGCTGAAAGGTTGTCGAGGGGAAATCAGCTACTTCATGCCCCCATAGAAAACAGTTGAAGGGATTATATAGGACACCCGAAACGCCCAAATGCACTACTCAGAGCCAGTAATGTTGGTCCAGGTTTAGCGGGGGCCCCCCTCACTTTAAAGAGGCAAGCCGCTGGGCTCTTTAAAGACAGGTCTCCGGGCATCGTAAGACTATTTCGTGTCTGGCGCGCCTTAGAAATCAGTTACCGGGGCCGGTCTCCCCAGACCGTGTAAAGAGGACACCAATCGGCTTCGACTTTTCTGGGCGGAGGGGGGGGGAAAGGTCACATTACAAAAGCAAGTCCCACTTTCAACATCAAGCCAACAAGCTGCAACTCTCCTCGGAACCTATCCTTGGTAGCCCAGGGTACCCCTTGCCATTTTGTTGGGGTTCTGGGCTCCCTTGTACAGACACCAACCAAAGAAAGGGTTTAGGGTTTAGGGTTTCGGGTATGGGGTTTAACATTACAAGATGGATACTGGGACAATGGGCATCGCGAAGCAGAGAAGAAAGACCCAGCGCCAGGCCGCCGAGAAGAAGCAGCCAGAGCGTGTGAAGAAGAGGACCTTGTCTTGGTTCAAGACCTGCAACCCTAAACCCTGAGCCCCTAAACCCCTAAACCCTCAACTCTAACCCCAAAACCCTACCCCAAACCCTAAACCTTAAGCCCTAAACCCTGTGCCTCAGGTTTCTGGGGAGAGCTTCGGGAACCCGAAAGCCTGAAGCCTCCCCCCCCCCCCCCCCCCCCCCCTCCCATAACCCAAAGCCTTCGAAAAGGCACCCAAGCCACCGAACCCCAACCCCAGGCCCTAAACCCTAAACCCTAAAAACTAAACCCTAAACCCTAAACCCTAAACCCCAGGCCCTAAACCCTAAACCATAAACCCTACCTGAAGGCTCTAATGTAGTTCCTTCTTGGTTTAGTTATTGGGGATCTTAGTATACTACCCAAAAAAAGGTACTACACAGGAGCCTTTGGGTAAATTCTGGCTCTCGGGTGCATGTGTGTGGCTTGGGGTGCAGTGTTGGGGACTCGAAGTCTTGAGATCAGGGTGCTACCGCTGGGCACCGTATAGTTTACTTCACCAAATTGGGGTTTATGGGGTTTGGGGTTTAGGGTTTCAGGGGGTGCTTCCCCCAAAATCGTAAGATCCATATTATAGGAACCCCCCCCCCAAGAAAGAACTACCCAAAAAGACTGGTACCCCTGTGTTCGGAAAGCTCCTATGCGTGGTACCACGCAATCCTGCAACAAGCGCCCTGCCTCGGCCAGGAAAGCCATCCAAGGCGAAGATGGGCAGGAGGCCTTTGAGGCCTTCGGGGTTTTGGGTCTTGGGGTTTGGGGTTTGGGGTTTAATTAGGGTTTAGGGCTTAGAGTTAATAATGTTTTCGAGGTTCTAAGTAGGGTTAGAAGTATGACAATTGCAAATGTAACCTTATTTCGGGCACTGACAACCCTACTTGCCGCTGTCCATGAACCTCCAAGTACCTGTGATTTACACGAGCCGCGCCACATAGGTGTGGAGTAAATCAGAGTTTTGGTTTATAAAAATTGGGGGGGGGGGTACCTTCTGGAGGTTCAAAGGTGCTTGTAACCCCAATTATATCTGTACTTCTAACCTACTTGGAGAACTTAGGGGGTTGAAGAAAGTACAGTTATAATTGGAGTTATATGTACCCTTGAACCTCCAAGTAGGGTCTGTGGGATTCAGCGGGGCTTAGGGTTTCGAGTCTGGAGTTTGGGGTCTGGGGGTTTAGGGTTTAGGGTTTAGGGTTTAGGGTTTAGGGTTTAGGGTTTTACAGTAGGGTTTAGGATTTCGGGTGTGTTTAGGGTTTCGGGTCTAGCATTTGGGGCTAGAGCGCTGTGTCAGGTTCCCGGGGTCGAGGTCGTAAACCCTGCACCCCCTAAACCCTAATAATTTACTGGGCTACTTAGGCAGGTACTGGGCTAATGGAGGTAGTATAGGTGTCGGAATAATTACAAATATTATTCCCTTATGGTCCCTTTGTAAATGTACTATAATACCCCCCCCCCCCAAAAAAAAAAAACTATTCTAATGATTAAGGGAACAGTCGTTGAAAGGAGGGGTATAAGAACCCCATTCAGTTTCTGATTGCAGATATACCATACGTGTAACCCTACTTACAGGCACCCACCTCCAAGTATCCGCCTCTGGAACTTCGAGTTCTGTTTTTTGAGACCAGCCACCTCGCATGCAGACATGTAGCCCTACTACCTAAGCCCCTAAACCCGAACCCTTCAACCCTTGTAGCATTGAACCGCCCTTTTTCAGGAGTACATGGATTACAACTTCCCAGAGGACTGCGTGAATTAGCTGAGGGCTCGGGGTTTTGGCTGTGTAGGGCTTTGCATGAGGCCTTGGACCCTTGAACCTTGAACCCTAAACCCTAAATCCTAAACCCTAAACCCTAAACCCTAAACCCGACTTGTACAGCGCGTTTGTCGAAAGACGAAGACCGGCTCTCCGGCTTGGGGGGCCGGAATAAACAAACGTGCTGGAAAATGTGCACTGGAAATATGCACTATTGCAGGAACGACCTTTGCCCACTACACCAATCCTAATTCAACAGACAACTGTGTGTATATATATATATATATATGATTATGCTACAGATGTGCAGTTTTCGTAAACCCTAAACCCAAACCCTGCACCCTAAACCCTAAAGCTTAAACCCTAGACCGCAAATTCACCTCCTTGGGCGTCAGAAGAGAGGGTTTAGGGTTTAGGGTTTAGGGTTTAGGGTTTAGGGTTTAGGGTTTAGGGTCAATAGTCTTGACCAGATGGTAACCAGATGGTATCGCGCCGGGGTTTCGGGTTTAGGGTTACCAATGCCTGGTTTTGGGTACGGCTTGGGTTCAAAACCCTCAACCCCAAACCCAAAATTTCTTGAATTGTGGTGGAATCTTCGTCCTAAACCCGAACGCCGCGAGGACAGCTCAGAGACGCAGAATCTCAAGATTCTCGAGATGGCGAGGATGTGGAAGAAGAGAAGCCTGACCAAGGTTCATGGTCCCTTGGGGCTCTAGTTCTTAGGGGTTCTGTAAGGACAGGAGAACTTGGCGTGGCATGGCCCTAAACCCTAATACTTCCATGGGTTCCCATACCAACCCCCTCTGTACTAGCCCCTCTAGGTTCCCCGCCCTTTACAAGAATCCTTTATTAGGCTTGACTATCCTTAAATAGGGCGGGGTAGCATAGTGGGGGGGGGGGGGGGGGGGGGGTAGTAGGGGAACCCATGATACCTAGGCCCCAAAGCTGCACTTTCGGAGTACCCTAGTCACAAGGCTCCGTCTGATAGTAAAAGGCCCCCCCCCCTCCCCCCCAATGGCGACCGTCATGTAGGAAACCCCCCAAAACCCTAAACCCTAAACCCTAAACCCTAAACCCTAAACCCGAAACCCTAAACCCTAAACCCTAAACCCTAAACCCTAAACCCTAAACCCTAAACCCTAAACCCTAAACCCTAAGACAGGACACTGGCAGGATGGTAGCACTCGGTTACCTACCTCCCTTGAGCAGTTGTTTCGTTCATATGACAATATGAAAGTAGGGTTTATACTTCTTGTACCCCAAAAAAGACACCAAGCATATACACTCACCAATATTAAAAGGAACCTTATATACACTCACCAAAAACAGTAGTATAACCCCTACTTCATATACTTCCAGTGTCAGAAGAGTTCTGTTACTAGCACCCTTAAGAACTTAATGCTTAGGGCCCCGGACATACAGGGTAAGTCCAAAGGGTGCTTTAGCACGATTGTTTTTGTTTTTCATGGCCCTGCTAAGAGGAGTGTGGCGGACTCCCTCCCTTAAGGACATTGCGACGGCTCTTCGTTCCAAGCCCCTCCTAGCTCACTCGTAAACCTTACGGTGACGATTTTTAATGAGTGGAGGGCGGCCAACCTGCCACGGCAAGGGGGGTAGCATAAAAGACCAGTTCAAATCCGCGTGTTTTCAATCTCCACCCCTCCACCCCTCCACCCCCTCCGCCCACTCCACCCCTCCACCCCTCCACCCCTCCACCCCTCCACCCCCCTCCACCCCTCCACCCCCCCACCCCTCCACCCCTCTCCACCCTCTCCACCCCTCTCCACCCCTCTCCACCCCTCCGCTCCGACACCCCTCCACCTCCACCCCTCCGCCCCTCCACCCCTCCGCCCCTCCCCTCCCCCCCACCCCTCCACCCCTCCTACACCCCAGAGGTGGGGAGGTGGAGGGGGGTGGAGGGGTGGGGAGGTGGAGGGGTGGAGGGGTGGGGAGGGTGTTCGGATGTTTAAAATGCTGGGCGGCCTGACGCCGCGCTCTATGGAGGTAGTATGAAATACCTGTTTTTTTTTTATGTCCGGGTGTTTAAAAACCGGCACCGTAAATTGGGATGTTGCCCCTTATACTAGCAGTCCTTAATCGGGAGTACAGTACCCCCTCATTATAACCCCGAATCAGGACAGTTAGTATACAGCAAGCTCCACAAAGTTGGAACATCCATACCCCAAAAGGTATCCTAAAGAGTATCCCAGCTCTAATCATCCTTAAAGCCATGCTCCAACTTTCTGGAGTTTACTATAAGGGGGAACATCCCAAACCTTTTACGCCAGTACCCTAAACCCTAAACCCTAAACCCTAAACCCTAAACCCTAAACCCTAAACCCTAAACCCTAAACCCTAAACCCTAAACCCTAAACCCTAAACCCATATGCCTTAATTTCGTAAAACCTTCGACAAAGTGTCCGAGGAAAGCTGGAGGCCTCGCAGCCGCCGCCCGAGTCGGCGTAGCTCCCGATGTGCGGAGGCAGTCCCAAAGGGTTTAGGGTTTAGGGAAAAGGGTTTAGGGTTTAGGGTTTAGGGTTAGGGTTTAGGGTTTAGGGTTTAGGGTTTAGGGTTTAGGGTTTAGGGTTTAGGGTTTAGGGTTTAGGGTTTAGGGTTTAGGGTCCATACACTCCAAACCCTTGGGCTTGAGGGCTTGAAAGTATAGGGTGCTCCTGCATTGAATGGCCTCAAACCAGAACTGTCAGGGAGCTTCAAATAAACCCCTAGCCCTAAGGGTCCATTTACCTAGAGTAGAAGCCACAAAGTTGGAAACTCAATAGCCTCAATCCCTAAAAATCCCAGCATCCCAGCACTAGCACACCCTGACTGCATACATTCTACCCCCCCCCCCAGAAACCCTTATAAGGAATGCTTAGGGGTTTAGGGTTTAGGGTTTAGGGTTTAGGGTTTAGGGTTTGCATATAAACACCACAAACCCATTAAACACTTCACCCAATCGGCTGAGGATCGCAGGTGATGGTCCATGTACCTGTTATAGTATATACTTGGGCCCTACAGAAGTTCTCAAATAGTAGCTTTAGGGACCAAGTATGTAATTACTACAGTAGCGCCGTCCGTTGAAGTGTACCGATTTCAGGGTCGAGGGGTTAGGCTTTAAGCTTTAAGGGTTTTGGGTTTAGGGTTGCTGTCTTAGCTGCTATAAACTTTAAGCCCAGCACCCCTGAGCCTTGTCCAGGAATTCGTGCGATTCCGGCTGCGTTGGGGCCGCCCGGACGACCCGGACGCGTAAAGCCGAGGAAAACAGCTGTCCTGAACGCCGAATCCCCAACTTAGGCCCTAAAGCCCCGAAGCCCTTCCGCAAACCCCAAAGCCCTGAGAAACCCTAAAGCCCTGAAAGCCCTGATATCCTTACACCCTCAGTCGCCGTCAAAGCCCTGAACCCTGAAGCCCCTGAAGCCCGAAGCTCAAATCCCTACAGGGGGCGAGCGCCTGACAAGCGCGTAGGGTTTAGCATTCCACCCTAAACTCAGTGGTGGCCCTAGACCTTTCGCAGCTTGTCTTGCCCAGTTCCAGAGGCAGACGTCCGTGCACAATCGACCTGCGTGTGTTGCTGGCACTGCTGTTTCTGGCTCCATTTAGCCGCGAAACATTGAGGCGCAAAGCTAAGCTTAAAGGAGCTTTTCAGATTGGAGAGGGCTTAGGGGTTCAGGGTTTGATTGGGGTTTACGGTTTCGGGTCTAGGGTTTAGGGCGTCTAGAGTCTTCGGAAGCCCCTGTGACTTGTTGGCGGCTCCCCCACGTTCTCCTCACTTTTTGGGGAGAGAAACTGAGGCCAAGGTAAAACCCCAACACCCAAAACGCAAGACCGCAGGGGCCCTAAACCCTAAACCCTAAACCCTTAACCCTAAGCCCTGAAAACCCTATAAACCCTAAGTTTCTCTCCCCACGTATCAGCAATGTGCTTCGCGGCATGCCCATGCAGAACTTCTGCCTTTGGCCCCTTGAATCGAGATTGCCTTTTGTTTTTGCGTGGGGGGGGGGGGGGGGGGAGGAAGAGTTTTTTTTTGCTTTGTTGGGGGGAGGGGGCGTGGGGTGGTTAGGTTTAGGGTTTCGGGTTTCGGGTTTAGGGTTTAGGGTTTAGGGTTTAGGGCTTAGGATCAGCTCTCCCAAATAGAGCACCCAGTCCTGGGGCCCCCAGCTCTTGACTGAGTCGCAAGCTCGATGGGGGGCTTCGCACTCACTCATAGCTTGGGATGTTCCCCCTTATACGAACAGCTCCCTAATGGGGCTTCTAGTACCCCCTTACTATATCCCTATTACGGACTGTTAGTATAAGGGGGAACATCACGGAACATCCCAACTCATAACCCTCTCGGTGTCTGTCGGCCTCGGGCTGAGAAGCTTGCCTTAAACCTTGAGCTGGACGGGGGCTGAGATTCGCAGACCTCCTTGCCCCCCCGGGGCCCTTTGCAAGCTGCGAGCTTCGCAATAAAAGAGGTTTAGGCTTTGGGTTTCCGGGTTTTATCCGACGCCGAGAACTACTCTACTGTAGTATTCTATACCATAAATATACGATACGATACTTTTCTGGCTATACTACCTCAAAGAGCACCATCATTCTAGAACATTCTAGATGACTGGTGCGTTGCGGGCTTCCCTGGCCCGATATGTCAACAAGAGCCGAAGGCCAAGCTCTCGTTTGTGTAAGTGTTTTCTGGAGGGGACCTTCGAGGGATTTTCCCAAGACTACCACCAACCACATTCCCGAAACTCTTTTGGCTTCAGAAGCCGTCCAACAGGAGAGTACTCTTGAAGTATTCTGATGGAACATACTAGTAGTACTCTTGAAGTATTCTCATGGAAATGTACAACGAATCCATACTATTTGGGGGCTTTGCGCACCTACTCTGAAGGAAGGATTAACAAGAAAGTCACCGAGACATGCTTGGAGGTTCATGGGTAGCTATAACTAATTTTAATCAATTTTAATTACTTGTAAATTAGTTTTAATTAATGTTACCTAATTTGTCTTTAATTTTTTAATAATTTTAATCAATTTTACATAACTGTAATTAACTGGGGTTATACGTGGGATTCCTGCAGCTACAAGAGGGCATCACCTTACTTAGGGGTGCTTCGAACCCTACTTCTACCTAGAGGCTCCTATGTAGTACCTTTTTGGGGTAGTATACTAGAATCCCCCTATAGCTAACCCAAAAAAGGACTACGTTGGAGACTCCAGGTAGCTACCCCTGAACCTTCCAGTGAGGCTTCTCTTGCTGCTCCCGCGCCGCGGCACGCGCATCGCGGCCTCTGTTCTCAGCTCCAGCCAGCCCGACCCGCAGATCTCTCTGTGAATCTCAGGGTTACTGGCAGGTTGCCTTGGAGGTTCAGGGCTTTGGGGGCTTTAAAAGGGTCAGGGTGTTGTGGTTTAGGGTTTTGGGTTTTGGGTGCAGGGCTTTAGGGTTTTGGGGGTTTAGGGTTTAGGGTTTTGGCCTTCGTAAGCCCTACTTAAGGAGCCATTAAAAAGGTACATACGCCAAGAACTAATTAGCCACACTTCTCGTTTTGAAGGAACGGGTAGAGGTTACTCCAGGTAAACCCTAATGTCCTGGTCATCCTACTCGAGCCCTGAAACAACCAACCCCCTTCCCTCTAAACCCTAGACCCTCCACCCTCCAAACTTAACCCCCAAACCCTAAACCCTGAACCCTAACTCTAGACCCTCTGCCCTCCAAGCCCCTAGCATCCTAACCCTGAGCCCTAAACCCTAAACCCTAAACCCCCTACCCTCTAAGCCCCTAGCATCCTACCGCGACTAGGTTGGAGGCCTGCACCAACGATGGGTCGGAGAATATGGACTGCGAGTTCAAGGTCACACAGCCCAGGGGTTTCCCAAAGGGCTTCGGGTTTAGGGTTTAGAGTTTAGGGTTTAAGGGTTTAAGGGTTTATAAACCCTAAACCCTAGAGGGTTTAGGGTATAGGGTTTTAGGGTTTCCGGGGGTTGGGACCTAAGGTGTTCGATTAAGACCTAAGGTGTTCGAGTAAGGTTTGTTTTTAGTTTGGGGTTGCGGCCTTAGGTTAGTTTCAAGGTGTTGGATGTTTTCTCATCTGGGTTCCTCATGAGGCAGACTCGTTAAGAGGATTTTTTCTTCTTGGTCCCGAACAAGAAGAGGATGTTTTTTTTCCAGGGTTAAATGTTTAGGGTTTGGGACTTTAGCCTTTCGGTTTGTTTGCAGATTTGGAGTTCAAAGCTTCAAGCTTCCGACAGGAGCTTTACGCCACCCCTAAACCTAAATTCTAAACCCTAAACCCTAAGCCCTAAGCCCTAAACCCTAAACCCTAAACCGCAGCTTCAGTCTTGACAACCCTTGCGTCTCCCCAACGTCTTTGGTGAAGCTCATGCACGGAGGTTCCCCCGAGGCGCATATATTTTCTAGGCCATAATGTGCCATTCTCGAGAGCTTAGGGTTTTGGGGGGGCCCTGAGGGTTTGGGGGCTTAGGGTTACTCGTCCGAAACCCTAAGCCCTAAGCCCTAAACCCTATAAACCGTAAACCCTATAAACCCTAGACCCTTGGAAGCCCTCAAGCCCTCAAACCCTATGGGTTTGGGGGTTTGGGGGTTTGGGGTTTCGTGTTTAGGAGTTTGGGGTTTTTGGGTTTTGGGGTTTTGGGGTTGGGAGTCAGGCCCATGGAGTAGAAGGCGTGTCGGCTGAGCCCAGGTGATACCACAACCCCGAAACCCCCCTAAAGCCGAACTCCTGCGGGATCCAACTGTTCAGGGTTCAAGGTTCAGGGTTTAGGGTTTCGGTGCTTAGGGTTCAGGGTTTAGGATTTAGGGCTAGGGTTTAGGGTTTAGGGTTTAGGGTTTAGGGTTTAGGGCTTGAAGGGCGTTCAGTGCTACCGGGCCCCGAAATCCTGTGCAGGTGGTCCTCACGGTCACCTTGGAGCATGGTCAGCCCCCTCCCCAGCTGGTGGGCCCATGGGTTCTGAGGGTTTAGGGTTTAGGGTTTAGGGTTTAGGGTTTAGGGTTTAGGGTTTAGGGTTCAGGGTTCAGGGTTCAGGGTTTAGGGTTTAACTAGGGTTCAGGGTTCACCGGGTTTATGGTGAGGCTTTACGAGGCTTAGTGTAGAGTCTGCGGTAAAAGTTGAGTTTGGGTATTAACTCCGGCCGTATCTTGTGCTCCCCGAACCCGATAAACCCTACATCCAAACCCCACACCCTAAACCCAAAACCCGAAACCCCAAATCCTAAACCCCAAACCCTAAATCCCAAACCCTAAACCCTGAACCCCAAACCCTAAACCCCAAACCCTAAACCCTAAACCCCAAACCCTAATCCCCAAACCCTAAACCCTAAACCCTGTGAAGTTTGCAGGGCATCTCGGCCCTGAGGGGTTTCCATCGAGTTCAGGCAGGACCAAGCCACAGAAGCCGCCACCCCGTCAGGGTTTAGGGTTTAGGGTTTAGGGTTTAGGGTTTAGGGTTTAGGGTTTAGGGTTTAGGGTTTAGGGTTTAGGGTTTAGGGTTTAGGGTTTAGGGTTTAGGGTTTAGGGTTTAGGGTTTAGGGTTCAGCCCCGAACCCTAAAGCCTCTGAGGCAGCTCTCAGGGTTTAAGGTTCAGGGCTTATCGGGTTTACAGGCCAGACAGCCCCCCGCAGACGCAGACACCTGCGCCTAAAGTATAGGGTCCGGGATAATTTTACATGTTTCCTTTTTTGAGTTTAAGAGGATCATACGTAGGAATTATAGCGGATCATACTGAGGAATTCGTTTTCAGAGGGTTTTTTCAGGGGCCATCCTAGATAAACGAAGTTCGAGAGCCCAACCGTCCCGTCCGCAACAGAGGCAAAGCACCGAGAGCGCGCACTTCTTCATCCGCGAGGTCTGCATCTCGGGGTTGAGGGTCCTCTAAACCCGAAACCCTAAACCCTAAACCCTAAACCCGAAACCCTAAACCCTTTATCCTAAACCCTAAACCCTAAACCCTAGGGTTTAGGGCTTAGGGCTTAGGGTTTAGGGTTTGTAGGAAGAAGAATGGCGCATCTGTTTGGAGCATGAAGGGGCTTTGGGCTGCCGTCAATTCGGAGAAATGAGGGCTCAGGGCTTCTTGAAGTTTACGAATAACAAGGGTTCTGCGTTGTGTCTAAATTTGGGTTCAGGGTGCCAATTCTGGGGGTGTAGGCTCATGAAGGCTCTATTGTTGAGGATTTAGGGGTTTCCTCCCTACCCCTGTAAACCTAAACACTATACACCCCCAAAAACCCTAAACTTTCTTATAACAAGGGTCACTGAGTTTAGACCGACCCACCCATCCCTGTTGTGATCAAAGCCTTTGATTCAGGCCACCTCCCCAAGAAGCAACAAGACGCTCGCAGTGTTCGGGGTTGCAGCATCGCGGGGTTATGGGGTTGTAGGGCCATGAAAGGTTCTAGATTCTAGCGCTTAGGGTTTTTCAGGGTCGCTTCGGCTAGTTTTGTTTTGTTGTGACGACGTGTGGGCAGTCGGAAGCCCTGAACCCTACAGTCTTACGGCACGGAAAGTCGAGGGCCATCTCCTTTGAACTCTCCTGATGGTTGAGTTGGGGCTGCTAGGATGCCCAGTAGTGCCCTTATTCCCTTTTTGGGGGCTCTAGGTTCCCCTATAAACCTCTTTAAGCAAAAAAGGGCACCCTTTTTAAGCCATAGGTTACTGGGCAGCCTAGGCTGAGGGTTTCGGGTATGGGTTCCCAAATTCCTTGAAATCCGAAGCCGCATGCAGACCGGAGGCCCTAGGGGGGCCCCATACCCTAGACTCGGGATGTCTATAACAGTCCTGACTAGGGATTATCGCAGACCCCCTTACGATCATGCCTATTGAGGATTGTTAGTATAGCTGGGAACATCCCAACCCTAGACCCCAAAGCCCTAAACCCCTAAACCCCTAGCCCCCTAAACCCCCTAAACCCCTAAACCCCTCAACCCCTAAACCCCTCAACCCCTAAACCCCTAAACCCCTAAACCCTATAACCCCTAAACCCCTAAATCCCTAAACCCCTCAACCCCTAAACCCCTAAACCCTAAACCCCAAACCCCTAAACCCCTAAACCCCTAATGTGAGAGTCCCATTTATAAATGGGGTGGTAATACTAAAATTCGCCAGGCCAGAGGGGTCCAGCCGTTTTCGGGCCGATGTATGTAAACAAGTCTATATAGGGGGGTGCGGTGATAATAATAAAGGGTGGTAATTCTAAAATTTTTCCGGCCTGGAATTGAAAATTTTACTGAGAATCGCTTAAGAGTTCCATTGCAGAGAAGACTTTTCAGCTGAGCTGGCTTGAAAGAGCTCCGAGGCTCAGTCTTTAGAGAAGCAGAAGCCTTCAAGACAAAGCAAAGCAGACCCTGACAGCTGACCCCCCCCCAGACCCCCAGACCCCCAGACCCCCAGAATTGATTATTGGCACCCCGTCTTTTTTTCCACCCCTCCAAACCCCGGGGACCAAAACAAGATTTGGGGGGGGGGGGGGGGGGTTTTTAAGGGGACCCTAACATTAACCCCGAAACCCTAAACCCCTAAACCCTAAACCCCCCAAACCCCCCCCCCCCCCCCCCCCCTCTTCTCTGCCCTCCAAGCAGATGCGAGGTTGCCGACGCAGAGGATGAGAGCAGAAAGCTCAAGAAGCCGTGGAAGGCGCTCCCCATTGCCATAGGTTTAGGGTTTAGGGTTTAGGGTTGAGGGTCTAAATTTTCCCCTGCGGTTTTGTGTAAACATGCTTGAAGAGTGCCTCCATATGTTGTTAACTAGGGCTTGCAGTCAGGTTGTTGTTTGCAGGGTTTATGCGCAAAGAGGTTTAGGGCTTCTTTCGGCTATAGCTCCCTTTTTGTTACTAGGATTTCGGTGTTATTTGGGTCTTCGGGGTGGGCTCGAATTGGGAATAATTAGGGTTTAGGGTTTAGGGTTTAGGGTTTACGGTTTAGGGTTTATTTGTTTGCAGATTGCAAATTGTTTTGGTTTAATCAGGGTGCAGAGTCTGTGGTTTAAGGCCTTGAGAGTTGGTGAAAGCTGAGGTTCGGGGCTTTTGGTGTGCGCATGTAGGGTGTGCGTTTGAGGGGAGAGGCTCATGTTTAGGTGTTAGGTGGGAGGATGGCATTTAGGATTTTGTGTTCAGAGGGTGTTAGAGGTCAGCCTAGACTTGGTGTGGTTCGTGGAAAGGGAGGTTTCGGTTTAGGGTTTAAGGTTTTTCAGCGTTTAAGGATGTTGGGGGTAGACTCTGTTTTTTTGTTGGTATCGGGTTCTCGCTAGTTGTTTGTGGCCGATATGCCGCTGCCAGGAATTGTGGCTGACCTAAACTCCTAATTTTTGCTCTAGAGGTAGACCAGTTGGATATAGTTGGATGTTTCTTCTTCAGAGGGGTTGAAGAGGATCTTATTGAGCATTTTTGGACGTGTTTCTAGGAGCCTTGGCTATAAGTCTTTCTGGACATGGATTGGAAAGCCTTCACCTACAAGACCCCAAGCCCTAAACCCTGAACCCAAAACCCTAGACCCTAAACCCAAAACTTTTGGTCCAGGTGAGCTGGGAGAAGAGCCGTGCGTTCTGGCGCTACCCGATACGGCCTCACGGCACAAGTTGGGCTGCTAGGGAAATCTGTCTTTGGGGGTTCTAGGCTTTCAGGGTTTCAGTGTTTAGGGTTGAGCGTTCGAGGCTGGTTTTTCTTTGTGCTTGTAGGGTTTCAGGGTTTTAGGATTTAGGTGAAAATACCTGAACTTGAAACCTGATGGCTTTTTCTGAACCTAGTCTTGTCTACTTCCTGGAGAAAGGCACCGCACGTTGCTGTAACACTTTCGGGAGTTGGCAGGTTGAGGGCTCAAGCTCTTCAGGGGATACTCGGAGGGAGCCTCCCCCGCACCAAAAAAATATATTATCTTATCAGGAAGAATATGTTATATTGTTTGGGGTCAACCAGTGGTCTTCCAGGGAATGCCCAGAAGGCCTAAGACGCATTGTCCTTTACAACCCTGAATACTTCACGGCGACCCTAATGTCTGGTGTCAGATTGCGTCCCTAGAATTTGAGGTTTAGGGTTTAGGGTTTAGGGTTTAGGGTTGAGCCTGCCTAACTCTTAGGTCCCTGAAGCATCGGGTAAGCACCCAAGGACCCTGAAGCCGAAGCCCCGGAGCACCAAACCCAGACGGACCCTAAACCCTAAACCCTAAACCCTAAACCCTAAACCCTAAACCCTAAACCTCAAGAGCTCAACTCTGCACATCTTTTTTTCTGCTTTTATATCCGCTATTTCCGATGACTTTTGTTTTCTACTCTTATTTCTCATTCTTGTTCTCATCTTTTTTGTCATCTGAGTACGCTAGAAACCTACCAAGCCCCCAAACCTCCCCTGTTCAACCCCGGCTCCCTCCAACCCGAAACCCCACAAGCGCCCAGGTACGTCCAGGACGTCAACAACCAGCCCACAGAGGGCGTCAAACAGGCGGGGTTGCCGGTGCACCCTAAACCCTAAACCCTAAACCCTAAACCCTAAACCCTAAACCCTAAACCCTAAACCCAGGGCAGGGCTCAGGGACTACTATCGAGCCGGAGGAATTGCAACTCATATTCCCTTATGGCTCCTGTGTACTTCGTGGTACTTTACTGTAACTTTAGATCTTTAGCCTTTTTGGGCTTACTGGGTTTCTTAATCAGGCAGCTAAGAGTTTAAGTTTTTTTGCTACCTCCTAAGTGCAGCCAAGTGTAGATATACTCATAATAACCACCCCCCCCCCCCCCCTAAACCCTAAACCCTAAACCCTAAACCCTAAACCCTAAACCCTAAACCCTAAACCCCCCCAAAAAAAAACGCATTCATATCATTCAGGCCCCCCTATATCGCAAGCTCTCCAGTGCTGGGAAACCCTAAGCCGCCCTGCCTAAGAGCATCCCGCACACCCTGAACATGCGGTTTAGGGTTTAGGGTTTAGGGTTTAGGGTTTAGGGTTTAGGGTTTAGGGTTTAGGTGGTGTTTATGGATTCATCATCCGATGTACCCCCCCCCCCCCCCTCGGCAAAAAACCGAGGACCTCTCGAAACCCGAAACCCTAAACCCGAAACCCTAAAAACCCTAAACCCTAAACCCTGAATCGGCGAAGCATAGTCACAGATTGGGCGCCTTCGTGCGGACGACGAGACGACGAGAAGGGGGGGGGGGGGGGGGGGGGGGAGGGAATCCCTAAACCCTAAACCGTAAACCCTAAACCCTAAACCCTAAACCCTAGTACGAGGGGTTGTCCTGAATCACGCGGAGTGGGGTAAGAGACAGAGAGCTTCCAAACCCTTAGCTCGAGGCTTCCCTAAACCTGGTGGCCCATAGGTTTAGGGTTTTAGGGTTTAGGGTTTAGGGTTTGGGGTTTGGGGTTTAGGGTTCAGGGTTCAGGGTTTAGGGTTCAGGGTTCAGGTTTCAGAAGCTCGAGGTCGGCTGGCTCTCCTGCAACGACAACCCGCTCAGCACCGACGAGGCTGACCGGAATCTAATATGGCGGTTTGAGTAATTAGAATAGGATTTAGGGTTTAGGGTTTAGGGGTTAGGGTTAGGGTTTAGGGTTTAGGGTTTAGGGTTTAGGGTTTAGGGTTTAGGGTTTAGGGTTTAGGGTTTAGGGTTTAGGGTTTAGGGCCTGAATAATTGTAATAGGTGTTTTTTTTGTTTTTTTTTTTTTGGGGGGGGGATTGTAGCATAATTACAAAGGGGCCATAAGGGAACGCTATTTGCAATTATTCTGACCCCTCGATTATATCCAAAATAAACACCAAGCCCCACACCCCCAAGCCTAAACGCCGACCCTTCACCCCAAACCCCCAGCTCTAAACCCCAATCCCAAGCCCTAAACCCTAAAACGCCGACTCGAAAAATGTTCAAGCACCAAGCCTGGAAAGACTAGATCTGCTAGACCTTCCAAGGTCATAGGTGCCAAGGACCCAGAGTAGGCCATTGTTTCCTTTGTGCAGGGTTTCGGCTCCCTTATAAGGCCCTTTAAAGCCAAAACGGGTACCCTTTTATTCCTCGGTTACTCTTGGGTCTGCACCCTGTAAGACGGTGACCTAAGGGCTCACACAGCAGAAACCTGTCAAGCAGAGCAGGGACCATGTCAAGGGACCATATACCTAAACCCTAAACCCTGCACCCTAAACCCCTAAACCCTACACTCTAAACCGCCCTTAGAGGCTGTCTTGCAACACAGAAGCCCTCACCCCAAGCCCGGAACTGCCAACTTGAATAGCGGGATGTGGAGTTCATGTTCAGAAGGCACACGGCATGAACCCAATGAACCCTAAACCCTAAATTTCAGTTCGCAAAACCGCCTCCGAGCATGACCCCGGTTTAGGGTTTATAAGGGTTAAGGGTTTAGGGTTGAGGGGTTTAGGGGTTTAGGGAGGGTTCTGACATTGGGCAGGCTTCCCACCTTTCCTCATGCCCGATGATCCGAGGTGTCTCAGTGCATCTTCATAACCCCTGTGCTGCAAAAGCTTGCACATGTCCGCGGCCTCTCTCAAGCTGTTGCAGTCAGAGAGATCTATACTTTGAATTTGTACTTACCACATGCTGAGATTGAGATAGAAGAGGGATGATATTCTTTACAAAAACCCTCGGAGCTTGTAGAGTCTAGGGCTGAGGATGATCTTGATGTTGTTGGGTTTAGGGTTTAGGGTTTAGGGTTTAGGGTTTAGGGTTTAGGGTTTAGGGTTTAGGCTGCAGAAGTCGAGTTCTACTCAAAGCTACCTGAGAATCATGTCGGCCCACCTGCGATTATGCTGTGCGAAGGCGGGGAGCCCCGTTTTTCTCTCAAGCCCCTTGTTGCGAAGGCTTCACCCCCGATCCTAAACCCCGAAGCCCGTAGACTCCTAGACCCCTGACCCTGGTAGGGTTTAGGGTTTCATGGTTTAGGGTTCGGGTGTAGGGCTTGGTGTTGAGAAGATTTTCGCTGTCGTCTGAGTCACGGAACTGGTTGGGAGCTCAGGAAAGGTACAGAGGGCGGTTCGGGTTTAGAGTTTAGGGCTGGGATGTTCCCCCTGATACTAACAGTCCTTAATTAATAGGGATTCTAGTGCCCCCCTATTAGAATCCCTACTGTTAGTATAAGGGGGAACATCCCAAGTTTCGGGCTGTGTACACGCGATGCTTAGTGGTACCCTTAACCCTAAAACCTTAATTGCCTCCACTCTAGACTTAGACTCCCGGGCCCGCTTAAGCAGAGCTGGCTGTACCCAGCCATAACGTGTAGGGTCTACACGGGGGTAGGTTTGTGGGCGAGGACATCGGATTCCGGGCTCAGGACATCGGATTATTCAGGATTGCCCGAAACTCATCCTCGTGCTACCCTGAGCTTTACATGCGTCCTAAACCCCATACTCTACTTGAGCGGGTGTGGTGTTCAGGGTTTGGGAGAAGGTCCCTCTCTACGCGCGCTTTAGCGGAATGCTGGGCCTTGTGATCTGTGCAGCTGGAGCACTGTCTGAAAATGGACGGCTTCGGTTTCGGAGTTGAGGGTGTAGGGTTTAGGGTCTAGGGCATCGGGTAAGCCCTAAAGCCTAAATCAGGGTTAAGAGCAGTAATCCAAAACTCTAAGCAACCGCAAGCCTTAAACCCCAAGCCCCCCTTGAGCGTCAGGACAGGAAGGCCCCCTGAGAGGTTTTGTAATCGGGATTAGGGTTTAGGGTTTAGGTCTTAGGGTTTAGGCCTATAAGCCCCTTTAAGCCAAACAGCGTACCCTTTTTTATTCCTAGGTTACTCTTGGGTCCATGGATCATCTTCTCAGGGTGTTCAAAGGCAAAGCAAGCCTCGGAAAAAAGTTCAGATTGCGGGCTTAGGAGTTCACTGTTGTTGGATGGATGTCCCCGCTTATACGAAAAGTCCTTAGTGGTGATTGTAATAGGGGGATAGGGGGTACTATGATCCCGATTATGGACTGTTAGTATAAGGGGAACATCCCAAGTTTACGGCGGTTTTTTTCGAAGACACCTGGGTGCAGGGATGTTGCTTGGGTCAGGCCAACGGCTAGACCCTACAACCATTAACCCAGAAAATGCAAACCCACCCCCTAAAACCTACCCAATGGCTGCTATGTAGTACCTGTTTGGGGTGGTATACTAGAACCCCTAGAAGCTACAGTAGAGGATTCAGGTAAACCTGCCCTAAATCCTAAGCCCCCTCAACCCCCTCAACCCCCTCAACCCCCCTCAACCCCCCTCAACCCCCCTCAACCCCCCTCAACCCCCCTCAACCCCCTCAGCCTCGAGCCCCAGCTGGCCCGAAGCTCCAAAAGCCCTAAACACTGAGTAAGCCCCAAACCCTGAATAACCCTAAACCGTGAATAACCCTACACCCCGAACTCTGAAACTTAAAGCCTAAACCCTAAACCCAAGACGAGGATTTGGCATCCCGCCAGTTCTGTCTCGCCTTGGCCGCTTAGTGGTCGTCTCTGTACGGGCCCTGGCAGGGGGTTTAAGGTTTAGGGTTTAGGGATCGGGGTTTAGGGTATAGGGTTTCAGGTTTAGGGACTAGGGCTCGAGAGTTGGGGGGGGGGGGGTGGTCGATTTGGGCTTAATGTTTGCGGTTGAGGGTTTCGGGGTTAGGGTTCAAATTTCGCCTAAGTCTATGCTTCAGGGCCTCTCGGGTTGCTCTTGAAGCCTCCGCCCACCCTGTCCAAAACAGTGGGCCCTGCAGTTCCTAGTGGTTTAGGGCAAAGGGCTTACGAGTTGCAGGGGGGGTTCGGGTTTTAAGGGTTAGAGTCTTAGAGCTTGAGGGTGTAGGCTTTTGGTTTTTCGGGTTTTCAGGTCTTCGGGTTTTCGGGTTTCGGGATGTAGGGTTTGGCCACAGACTCCTGAGTAACTTGGCACGGTTGTGGCTCCAAGGTTGGGAAGGGTGGTCTAGGGTTTAGGGTTTAGGGTTTAGGGTTTAGGGTTTAGGGTCTAGGGTCTAGGGTCTAGGGTCTAGGGTCTAGGGTCTAGGGTCTAGGGTTTAGGGTTTAGGGTTTAGAGGGTCAAGGGTTTAGGTATTAGGGTTTTAGGGGTTTCGGGCCGAACCCGCCGGCTTGGCCCCAGAAGAGTGCAAGTCATCTTTACCCTAGGCCCTATAATTCCTAAACTTACACCCTATACCCTAAACCCTTGTTTTCATGAAAGCCAACATGTGAGGATCCATTTCTCACCCGGAGATTCTGCAAAATCACCCGGTCCCTCCCCAACTTGGCCAAGTTTAGGACCCTAACTCTCAAACCTGATCCTACGGCTGTGAGTCACCACGGCCGTTTACTAAAGTTCTTTTTTTGCTTAACGTTGTTATGACGGGCAATAGTTGCTTTAAGGTTATTCAGATTTGTTACTGTCAATTTTCATTTGTGCAGTGACCTTGTTTCTTTGGCAACTACTTTTTAACATGTTCTTCTGGCTGTTGACGATGTTGCGGTCATTATCAAAGGGAGATATCCCCTTGAACCCTCCCCACTCCCTCAGTCATGCCCTTAAACCCTCCCCACTCCCTCAGTCAGTGCTCAACCCTAAACCCTAAACCCTAAAGCCTTACTCTCTTGACGAGTCGTGGGTAAGAATGTGCATAAGAAGGGCTCTGGTGCCAACAAAATCCTTTCATGCTTCTGCGTGAGGCATGTGAATCTTTTGAGGATGGAGGGAGCCTACGACTGCGTCTATGCATCTAACAAAGTGCGCAGGTGGACCGAGGTCAGATGGGCTGCTGTTGGCGACGAGGTTGACGTGCTGCATCGTGATGTTCAGCTGAGTGCTAAACACGGCAAAGTGACCCCCGCCCTTCATGATCTCAACTTCCTACACGCCGTGTATGCTGCGGAACCACGCTCCCCCCCCCCCCACACTGTTGTGTTTACGACAGCCTATAAAGACCGTATCAAAGTAACGGGACGTAGAAGGGGTATGCAATATCCCCCCTGGATTGAAGTGGTTACCAAACATCATTTTGCAGATGTATGGGACCTAACCGTTTCCAAGGGGATCTTTGGACCATACACCCAGCATGCCACAATCGCCCGTAGACTGCGAAATCCCTCTTTTGCTGAGCCGGTGCCAAGGCTCGCATACCAGCGCGCAAGGCCATAGCAAACAACACCCCAAACCCTAAACCCTAAACCCCCTAAACCCTAAACCCTAAACCCTAAACCCTAAACCCTAAACCCTAAACCCTAAACCCCAGGTTCAGGGTGTATATGGCTCAGGTCCTGCTCCGGCGGCTCCTTCGGAGTCTTTTCCGCGTCCCCAGCCGCCACTGCGCCTTCCGAGGTGTGGAGATGGAGGTGGGTTTAGGGTTTAGGGTTTTGGGTTTAGGGTTCAGGGTTCAGGGGTTAGGGTTTAGGGTCTAGGTCAGGGTTTAGAGTTCTGGGTTCTGGGTTTTGGGTTTTGGGTTTTGGGTTTTTGGGTTTAGGGTAGGTGTTTCGGGGGTGCCATGGGTTTTGGGCAGCCCTCAACCCACTTAAACCCACTAAACCCACTA